TGGTCCTAGGTGGTTGGGCAGCTGATATCAGAGGCTTGCCTGCACCTCGGGCTGGCTCTGGGCATCTGGGGGGCCAAGGCTGGGTCCAACTGCACTGTGTACCTGACCTTCCTCCTCCCCAAGGCTGGGCTGAAAGAACTGGGAGACTCTGGCAGGTCTGAGGGGACTGGGTGCCACCATCTTGTGGCTATGGGCTGGGGGGGCCTGATGCAGTGGAGGACAGACATGGCGGGGATCTCCCTTTTCCGCATCCCGCATGGAAAGAGAGATGATCGAACTGGTTCTAAGTGGAGGCAGCCAGGGATTGAGAAATAATAGAAATAAAGAGAGAAGACACAAATATATTTTAAGCTGGGAGCTGGGTGGGCTGCCATACTATCTGCTGGAGAGGCAGGAAGACGATGATGATGACCCTTTCCAGCACATTTATTTTATACCCCCAATACCAGGAAGTAACACCAACTTATTTGCATTCTTAAGTAGGCCCTAGCATGCCTGGATTTACATATCTAGTCCCCCCGCCTGCCGACACCTGGGCTGATATGAAGGCCTAGCTGACAACATGTCTCCCATCTTGGGGAAACATGTTCCCAAGGCATGGCTCTGCCTATGCCTTGAGTTCAGCTGACAATAATTAAGGAAAATGCCCATGTGTCTTCCCAGGCAGCTTTTGACAATGGGCATTGCCATCTTTGTGAGGATCAATTTTATATTCCTTCTTTATTAGATAGGATTAATATAAAACTGTTTGGTTTCCTCATTTAATGGGAAGAAACTAACCCACGTGGGGTGCCTAGTGAATATCAGGGACTTTGTACACTTATTGATTCAGTTCTCACTACAACCCTATGAGGTAGATATCATGTTTCCTATTAATAAATAAGGTACATAACTGCCTTACTTGATATTATTGAGTTCTTAGTTAGGGGAGCAGGGATTTAATTGGAAGTTTGTTTGATTATAAATTCATGTTTTTTTTTTTTTTTTTTTTTTTTTTTTTTTCAGTTCAGCTGCTGGTCTGGAACATTTTAGGTTGTTTGATAAAATTTGGGCTCTATAGCTTCTCTTCTCTTACCATTTCCTGTAAATTGAATTTGCCTTCTAGATACTATTCTTTTTCTTTTTATTGCTGTAAAGGTAATAAGTACTACAGGGAATTGCTACTCTAAGTGTTAGATAGAAAAAAAGTATTTTTTCATCTTTACATGAGTGTTTAAGATAACAATTCATAATAATGTATAATTATTTTAACATTGGGACCCTAGGCATATATAACTCTGAATTTTCAGATTTTAGTGTAGACATCTCTGATTGAAGGTACCCCTCCCTAAGTCTCTTAGATGGGGTTAGGGCCCCTTGTGGTACACTCTCAAAGCCTTCTATACTTTTCTCTCACATAACTTTAAAAACATTTATGTCTATTGTTGAGGTTATTACATATGACACTCTTTCCGCCTTTACTCCTTCCACCCAATTCCCACCCTACCCCAGGTCTTCTATTACCTGTGTCCAGGGATTAAGCATATTTGCACATGAGTTTTTGATTATTCTCTGCCCACTCTCCCTCTTTTACCCTTCCCTCTGATATTAATCAGTCTGTGCGATGCCTCCATGCCACTGGGCCTATTTTGTTTGTTCATTAGTTTCTATATATAAGTGAGCTCATGAGATATTTGACTGGCTTATTTCGCTTGCATAATACTCTCCAGGTCCCTTCATGCTGTCTCAAAGGGTGAGATATCCATTTTTTTTTTTTTTTACAACTGCATTATGTTTTATTGTGTAGATGTATCAGTTTTTTTTTTTTTAAATTATTTATTTATTTATTTACTAATTTCCTGATGGGCACTTAGGATGTTTTAAGAGCTTAGCTATTGTAAATAACACTGCTATGAACATAGTGGTACATATATTCTTTCTGGTTGGTGTTTTGGGAATCTTAGGATATATTCCTAGAAGTGGGGTCATTGAGTCAAATAGCAGTTCAATTTTTAATTTTTTGAGGAAATTCCATACTGTTTTTCACAGTGGCTGTACCAGTCTGCATTCCTACCAGTCTGCAATGTACTAGGGTTCCCTTTTTTCCACATCCTTGCCAGTACTTGTTGTTTGTTGATTTATTGATGGTAGCCCTTCTGACAAGTGTGAGGTGGTTCTTCATTGTTGTTTTAATTTGAATCTCTCTGATGATTAGTGACTTTGAGCACTTTTCCATATGTCTTTTGGCCATCTGTATGTCCTCTTTGGAGAAGTGTTTAAGTTTTTTCCTAAGTATACTAAATTTTTATTATTGTTGCAATGGGATTGTTTTTAGTTTCTCTCTCAGAGAGATCATTATTGGTGTATAAAAATGTCATTTCTTTCTGGATATTAAATTTGTATTCTGCTACTTTGCCAAATTAATTTAATAAATCTAGTAATTTTTTGGTGGAATATTTAGGGTTGTCTAGGTATAATATCATGCCATCTGTGAATAATGATAAAGAGGGAGGGAGGGAGAGAGAGAGAGAGAGAGAGAGAGAGAGAGAGAGAGAGAGAGAGAGAGAGAGAGAGAGAGAACATTGTCAAAGAAGGGAATCAGAAAGGCATGGGCATGCTCCAGAGTGAGGGAACCATGCAGGTCCTTCCTCTGAAGGGTTGTTTTTCTGGAGACTTCAGGGGACTATTCATCAGTTTTCCAGGTATTCCCCTCAGGGTCCTGTTCTCCACTGATTGGTCAGTGTCAGGGCAGGAGGTCATTAGCCAATGCTAAGCCCTGCCTGGCCTTGCTGTTTTTCTGGGCCTAGAGCTGAAACACAGCTGAGGCCTAGATATTTTCTCTAGTTGAATCAACTCTGTCTCTGTGGTCAACAGACTGGAGGCTTTGTTCCTAAGGTTATTTGAGGTGGGCCAGAACTCGATTGTTCTTAAGGCTTAAGGCTTAATGCTTAAGGCAGTGATTGTGTAAGGGCTTGTATGGAAGTCCTATGAGGCTATTATCCTGCCTTTGGTTCTTCTAAGGGGGTGTACTCATGACCAGTGATATGCCAGGGGAGGAAAGGTCAGTGGAGGGTCTGAACCACATGACCAGTGATATAAAAGGTCAGGGGATCTAAGCCACAAGACCAGTGATATGCTATGGGAGGAAAGGTCAACCTGGGGAGGGGGTCCCAGCCCAGTTTTACCTGTTGCTAGGCAACTGGAGCTATCTGCCTTGGTGACAGATACCTGGCCTTTTGTTCTATTCTGCTCATGCTAGTCTAACTGCCTAGTATATCACCACCCTCCTCAGCCAAAGTTTCAGGGAAGTTTATATTCTCTCAGAGGTCAATATGTGGTAAACATTTTTTAATAAAAGTGGTGGGTTTCAGAAATTATGCTAAACTAAGTACTAGTCTTCGTTACTCTGATCCAAATGACTGTATATCCTATCCTTAAACTATTCATGTCGCATCTCTGAGTGTCATAGTTTGAACACCTTCATTTTGTTTTTCCTATGAGTCTTATTGTCTGTTAAATCTTGTAGCTAAAAAATTTGGTTACATTACTTTATTGTAAGTACATTGCTTTTTTCACTTTTAGTTGCCTGTAGAGAATAGATTACTTAGTGCAAATTACAGATCATTAAACTTTGTAAAGCTCTAAACATTATATGTTGTAATAATTATCAAAGATGAAAAGGGCTATTATTTAATAAAGATGGAAATTTGAGAGTATAGGTGTGTTTATCTTCATTACACATTATTTATATAGCTTCTAATATCCTACTACTGTGATTATAGTTTACAGAGGTAAAGTGGGGCTAAATGAAAAGAAATGAACAGATGTTAAAAAGGAAATTATTTAGCAGCTTATTAAAGAAGAGTAGCTTGTAGTTTATTGGAACTTAGAAATTATATAATAGCACTACATATGTGTATATAGGTAAGGTTTGAGGCACAGAAAACTGATCACCAAGACATGTTAAAGTTTATTCTCCAGTAATGAGCGGGACTCATTATGGGAATAGAGAAATCAGAATTGAAGGAGTGGGGAGCGGGAAAGGACCCAGCTGGGCTGCCACCTGGTCATGGAGGGAAGCAGCACATGGGCTGGGCTGGAAGTCTTTTCAGGGGAGGAACAGGAGAGGGTTGGACCCAGGGCGGAACAGGAAGGGGTGGGTTTCAGGGCACTTTGGCACACGCTGATTGGTGGTTCAATGTCTTGGGGATGTCTGTGGCAGATGCCAGTAATGTCATAACTCCGCCCATCAGTTGCGGGGGAGGGAGAATCTCACATTCCAGATTCTTTGATATATTATATTTAAAAAATTGAGAGCCTCGGCAGGGGTTCAGGGGCTTTGTCACCATCCACCTTGCAGATGCTTGCATCAGCTCTGGGCTTCCCCACTGCCTCAACCTAACAATATATACATTTAGAGACTTATTGCAGAAGATTCCTGCAATAGGGCCTCTTGCTGTGGTCGCTGCCCTGCCTCCTTCCCTCCCTTCTCCCCTACCCCACTTGCTTGCCTCTCTGCAGCTTCACTCCCTTCTGCAGCGCTTGGCTTCTTTCTATAATACACTGTCTTCAGTCTTCACTCTGACCTGGATATGCAATATCATCTTGGTTGGGTTAACTAGCAATCTTGTTTTTTTTATAGAAAATTTTAAACATATACAAAAGTAGAGCAGTGTATTGAAACCCCATATATGTATTACCCAAACTAAAATATTGTGAACATATAGCCAATTTAGTTTTTTTATTACCCCTTTATTCCTCATTCCCACTTACCCAAAATTATTTATATTTTTTGCCAAACATCATATGATTCTATTCATAAACAAATTAGTTATCATAGTTATTTAACACAAGAAATATTAATGTGTTTTATGTAATCTTTATAGTTATTTGATGTTGAGATATTAACTGTAAATATTTGTTTAAATTTCTGTTGATCTTTGGTTCATCATATCAGGTTATAAATTAATCAGATGGGTTCAGATTCAGTCAGATAGTCTTCCAAATTGTTCCTGGCTTCTTCAGAAGGTCAGAACTGTTCGAATGCTGTTAATAATTATATTAAAAATTAGTATAACTTTTATGATAATTTTAACCAAAAGTCACAAATAATTTTTGTTTTTTTCCTTTCGGGATTTGATTTAATCTTTCTTTATAGACACATAATTTGGTAAGCCTAATTTTTTAAAAATCTTATTATCCTCCTTTATTCCTGGTACTATAAAACTTTATATATGATAGCAATAAGCTGGGAGAGAATTGGGGACCTCACTTGCCCCTGGTTGAGGACTTGGCTGCCTAGTGGTGCTATGGAGAGGCAGAGTATGCAGTGTTGTAGTGATGTTTTAGTCATGGAATAGCCCCTGCTCTTGGCTCTCCGGTAACAGAGGGCAAATTCGGCATTAAAACGAGGTGGTTGGTGTGTTGGGATGCTACTTTCTGAGAACTGAAATATTCTAACTTCTGAATTAGTCCTTCCACATGTACTAGCAAAATGGGGGTTAATCCTTAAGGACAGGGAATTCCTTATCTTGGCTCTTACTGCTGGAGCTGTGGGCTGCCAAGGATAATGCTTTGTTCACTCAGGGACGGGAAGAGCCACCTTTCTGTGGGGGGGAGGCTCTGTGTCCTTTCCTCACCACGGGTCGGGGTCCCTGCACGTTAATAGGCCAATGATGTTATATCCCAGCTCCCCTCTCCCATTTCCTTGCATCTATGCAGCTGGCATGCCAAGAGCACCTGTCCTCCATGTGTTTCTTGTTCCCATGTGTTGTGCACACGTGGGAAGGACAACCCCCTGCCTTCTCTGTTGCCACCTTTCCACCTGTGTGGGCAGTCAGGTGGTCTTAGTGGCCAGAGGAAGAGTAAGAGGCCTCATGTAAGTGTTTCCGGAGGCCGTTGTTCTACCAGTGACTGCCAGGCCTGATTTTAGAATATGGGAGACTTGACCAGTTATTACTAAAGTCATGCAACATTGCATTTGGCTGCCACGTAGCATTCCTGGTTGGGTTTGTTCTATGACTGAGAACCCATGGTTAGTGGTGGGGGAGTTATGAGCACCAGGTTCCAAGGCCCCAAACCCAACCAATTCCTCATTTGAGGAATATAGGGACTTAGACATTGTGCAAGGTGTTTCAGGGCTTTTACATTAAGTTACTTAGCATACAACCCTCAACCCTTCAATTTGCAGGCTGATGCTCTATCCACTGAGCCAAGCCAGAGAAGGCTATTTCTTTGATTTTTGTTCAACTCCTTTTTGATTTGTTGTAGCTAACGTGTTTCAAATTAGGGAGTTCGTGTCAGTCAGTAGGAACATTTTCTCAGATTTTTACACTGTGAAGTATCCTGTGTCCTCACACCATGGACCTATTTTCTTCTTTTGGGACATTGCTTCTCTGCTTCAAACCCATGCCAGTTAACTCTAGGTCCCCCATCCCCTCTTGTAATGTCCTCTCTTTTCTTTGCTCTTTTGTCCTGCACCTCCTCTGTGCAACATTGTTCCTGGTGTCTTGTCTTTTGTTGCTATTGATCACGCCTATGCTTGATCATTTTAATTAAAATCATTGATCTCAGTCTTATTCACTCCCAATTTCTAGGGATCCCCAGTTGCGACATTTCTATAAATCAGTTCTCAGGGTTCATGGGAAAGGAGCTCACTACAGCTAAAATTGTAGGTCAGCTGTCTCTTATAGGAGACCTCTGACAAAGCAAGAGCATGAGAGAGTTGGACATCCTTTAAGTATCTGATACCTGCCACTGACCACTCACATCTCTATGGTTTTCACCCGATTCTGAGAAAGAAGGGCCTCAGGGTGCACTCTGTCAAACATAACAGAACCAGGCTATGTTGTTCTAGAGGGACCTGATGTTATAGTATAGAAACCTCTCTTTCTAGGGAGCAGCCCCAACTAAGTTAATGATTGTGAAAGAAAAAAACATGTATCAATTTATGCCACTCTCTATGTTGGAACAGCGCATGGCAGTGTACATTATGGAAACAGAGTAGGAAGATAGGTAATGTTGGGGGTCCCCCCCTCCCCCAATGGCCACTATTTCATCTTTTAAGCACTTCTAGTATGTCTGGTGACATGGAAGATGTCAGAAAAGAAACCGATTAGATTTAAACATCAAATAAAAATAAAGTCATCATGAAAGTTTGTCAAACCACTTACTCATCTGTTTGGTAATTTACCTTTTTCCTTGGTGCATTAGGTCAAATGCCTCATTGATTTTTTCAAAAGGCAGGGTATGGGTCACCAGTGCATCCAGGTTGAATTTCTTATTCTTGTAATCAGTAACCAGCTTTGGGATTGAATCTCTACCTTTGCAACCTGTAATTTGGCCAAAAGTTCAAATAAAGATGTGGTGGTTAACATGAAGAAGTAGATTAACCATTGTTTGTCGAATGAATGAAATTATTTGGTTAGATTGGCTTCCTCCAAATAGATTAAACCCCATATTTAATTTGTCTATACTTTTATTTACTTTAAGTTTTTCTTCATAGCAGAAATTCAAGATTAATTGTATTTCTGCATAAGTAATTATCTCTATTTGGTCCAAATTTGACTTTTGTTTCGGTTGGTTTATTTTAATGCAAATTGAACTTCTATTTGCAAGTTGTGGTAATCCTACTATACAAACTGTTTACTTTCAAGTAATTAATAGAATAGCTTTTATGTAGTCTTAGATGTATTCTAAGCACTCAATATTTAAATAGGTTATGTTTCTTTCCTTTTAATAATTTTCAGTGTAAAAATTTGAGTATTAATATAGAGAAAATTAGAAGAAAAAAATGATAGCACTGACCACCAAATAATGTTCCATTGATAGTACGGCCCATTATTAGCTCTATTGGAGTAATAGTCAATCCTTTATCACCAATGGCTACTCCAACGAGAGTACACGTTCCCCAACCTACTGTTGTGCAGTCCAGGGCTGCTTTCTGGAAGGTTAAACAAAAAATGCCAGCTGAATTAGTAGAAAGGTAGACCATGCCATCAGTGTGCGTATGTACTGGGTTTCAGGGAAAATTTATACACTCTGCATAAGAAATAAAGGGAGCCAAGCTCATGAGGTCATAGTGTTATAGATTGACAATTGAGGCCTTGCTTCAGATAGAACATTCAATAAAATGTTGAGCTTCATAAAAAAAAAAGATATTAGAAAGAGAATATATTATTTCATCTTGTTTAATATTATAATTACTGGTATGCTGAACCTAGAATGTATATCATTGTCCATAAAAAATATACACATGAAGTTAGGAAAGATCTGTAAAAGGTATTATAAACTCAAATCAACAAATTTTTGACTATTTACCAAGTGTGTATTGTAAAAAGGTTGCAATTTCAGGGGCATAGAATAAAAATCTTTAAAATCACGAGAAGAGAGTGATTATTCACGAGAGCCTGGGATGAGGCATATACGGCAAACTTAGTGCATTTCAATGTGGGATAAATGAAAAGAAAAGCCATTTAAAATAGAGGGCAAAACAGTTAAAATTAGACTGGCTGCTTCTCATGAAACATTTTATCTGCCTCTCTCCATTTTTTTAAGCTCTTTCAGTTAGGTGGTCTTATGTGACCAGTTCTGGCCAATGAATGGACGTTGGGCAGAAGTGAAGTGTCATTTCTTGGCCAAAACAGAAAAGCTAGTGTGGAACCTGCCAGCTGTCCCTTCTCCTACTGCTACAACCAGAGGGACCTCATGTTGAGATTGTGAAGCCCCAAATTTGAATTTCCTTGATGGGTAACTCACCACATAGAAAACAGTGACAGTGGGGGTAGGGAGAGTTGCATTGATCTTTTCATGAGAGAAAAAAAGAATACTGTTATTTTATCCTACTGCAAGTTTGGGATGAAGATAAAATTCCCAAGCATTAAAATGTAAATAAGTTTAAGAAAGCTATAAATTGTGGATAGCCATTCCACTTAGAAGCCCAGTGGTAAATAGATAAACAGCTAAAATGTTTTGAGACAAGCATTATCCTATATAATAAAAGCCTAATATGCTAAGTGTCTGGTCATCTGCTCGGCCATTTAACCAACCAAAGTATTAATATAATATGCTAATGACATACTAAGACTTCTCAAGCACTTGCTATATTGGCCCTGACTACCAGGGAGCAGAGGCTCCAGCTGGTAGGTTAACTTACTGCTGGGGTCCAGCCAATCAGGACTGAGTGAGGAGGGCCAGACATGCCTTGGAGCCTCCGAAGGTCCCTCCCTGGCAGGCCAATCTTTTGCTTTCCTCCCCAGACCCAATCCTGCATTGGTGGGGTCCCTTGGCCTGGCCTGTGCCCTCTGGCAATCCAGGCTGCGAGTCCCCCAAGTGCACAAATTGCATGCACTGGGCCTATAGTAGAAGAGAAATGTAAACTTTGTGCCATATCTGTTGCCATAGCCAGGGGGCAACTTTATTTTTGACCTTTTGGGGAAGTTTTTACTTTTTCAGAAGTTCCAATAGGAAGTACAGTTCTTTTTCATCCCTGATCATTATATGAAAGAAGGAATTTGAAGTACAGTAAATTCTCTCCATCTTCTCTCTCTCTCTCCATCTGTCTTACTAGTGACAGAAGACACAATGACCTAGAACTTTAAGAATGTGTTTTGAAATATTTATTTGATTATATGCTTATTTATTGTTTTGAGAATTGGTAATATTTCTAAATAGAAACTTTTGCTTTTTGCAATTTTTATGTGGCAGTTTTATTTTTGCTTATATATACAACATGTAGATTCGTGATGAGGGAAAAAGAGCACAAAGTACTACTGGTCATCTAAAGGTAGCTGCTTACATTGCTTTCTGTTTTTTAATTTTTATGTTTTTTCTATTGCTTTTCCTACATTTCTGAAGTTTGCTCCAAGCAAGAATTTAACCTCCATAAAGATGACTTAGTTCAATGGGTATTATGTGCAAGTTCAGAGTTTTATTTAGTATCCTCTAATAACTTCTGATCAGAATTATTTTGAAATCTCAATATCTTATATAATTGTCAATTATTTTAACTTATATATCTTATATAATCGTTAATTATTTTAAGTTTCTAATTTTGTTTAGTTCTTTATGCTGCTTTAGGGCATGAAAAGTCATTGAAATCAGTTTCATAGCCATTAGTGGAATCTCTATTACAACCTAAAAATTTTTGCAATTAAATAATTGACACCTTTTAAAATTTGGTGTAATTCGATTCCATAATTCCTGCCAAGTTTCAGGTCAGTGTTTCTCAGCTTGAGAAACTTATAAAAAAATATTGGTTCCTGGGCCTCCATCTGGTACTAACAAACAACAACTCCCAGGCACTTGTAAAGCAGTGATTGTTGGGAATATCTGTACTCTGAAAATAAGGTAAAAAGGCTGAATGTCAATGTTTGTAAACAGTTTGAGCTTTGGAAAGAGTAGGAATGGATGTGGCACATTGCAAGCTCCAAGTGCCAAGGACCATTAAAAAGCAGGCCCTGACACAGAAGAGCAGTGCAGGTTAATGTCTGAATCTTCAGGAAGAGCTAACAGATCCCTTTGAAACAGCTCTGTTATTACAACAAAACCATTCTGGGAGGGGCGGCCTGCTCCTCTCAGCAGCTCTTGCCTCTCTCCCCTCTTCTGGGGAACTCACCAGTCAGGTGAGAAGCAGGGGGAAGAACCTGCAAAGCCAGCTCCTGGTGGAGGTATGGACTTTTATTATGGTTCCTTCCCTAGAGGAGGGTGTTAGGAGCCAGGCTGAGTGAAAGGGTAGCAAGATGCTGGGCACTCTGGCAAGCCAACTTGTCCATCTGTTGCCACATGTGCGGGTGGCTCTGCCCACTCTCAGGAGAATGGGATAGACAGAGGTAGCTTCTCAGGCACTGCAAGTCAGGGAGTCCGACCTGAGAGGAGAGGAAAACTGAGTGATTAAAAATTATAGTGTTTGTGAAGAAAATATGTACTTTTAATTTTGCAGCATGTGTGCATTGGATATATTAAACATGTTAAATATTTACTTTGGATCTAATTTTGCAGCTGATTTTTGAGGGCTGGCAGACAGAACTGGATTGTGTGTAGGTTGCTGGCCTCTCCCTGCTCTGCTTTTTGATGGGAGTGGATACCTCAGGCTGTTAGGGTGACACCAGCCACATTCTCTTCCTCCTCCTCTAAGTCTGCCTTTCCTGTTCTTATTGTTTTGCTCACTTCTTGCAGGCACAATTCCTTAAAAATTTTCACTTCTAAGTTTCCTCTGAATTTCATGTGGAAGAATAAACAAATAATAATAACATAATAAATCTGTAATATTTATCAATAGACTAAATAACAATTAGAACACACTACATTATATCCAATATATTATTAATAAACATTGCTTATTATCCTATCTAATAAAAGGGTAATATGCAAATTAACCATCACTCCACCACAAAAATGATGGCACACATAGCCATAAGATGGCAGCACCCCTTCCTCTCAGCCTCACCAGAGTCCCCCATTCTTGAGGAGGGCTGCCACTGAGAGCCTGCAGAGTAAGCGGCCTGGCAGCATGCTGCCCAGAGACACTCCTGACCCTTTATACAAAACAAAAACAAGTCCACTCCCCACAGAGTGAACCCTACACACAAACCTGCAGCCTGGCATCTCAGCCTGGGAGGGGCCCACACGATCACTGAATGATCCTCTCCCAGCGGTGGCAGCCTGGGCTGGGGTCTCAGCTTGGGAGGGGTGGAAGGGGTGTGCACCCCCAGGTGTGATCCCTCCGGACAACCCGGGGTCTCAACTACTGAGTCACACCAGTCAGGCAGATATGGAGGAATCTTAAATGTTTCTTTCTTTTTTTTTTTTTTTAAATATATATTTCATTCAATTTTTTACAGAGAGGAAGGGGAAGGAATAGAGAACTAGAAACATCTATGAGAGAGAAACACATCGATCAACTGCCTCCTGCACACTCCCCACTGGGTATGTGTCCCTAACCACGGTACATGACCTTAATTGGAATTGAACCTGGGACCCTTGAGTCTGCAGGCTGATGCTCTATCCACTGAGCTAAACCAGTTAGGATTGTCCAATATGTTAAAGAAAGAAAACAAAACCCTATCTAATAAAGAGGGAATATGCAGGGGAGGGCATTTGGGGGTGATCGGGTTGTCAGGGGAGGGCAGTTGGGGACAATTGAGCTGGCAGGGGAGTAGTTAGTCATCGATCAGACTGGCAGGGAAGTGGTTAGGGGGTGATTAGACTGGCAGGTAGAAGCGTTTAGAGGCAATCAGGCAGGCAGGCAGGCAAGCAGTTGGGACCCAGCAGACCTGAATTGTGAAAGGGATGTTCGATTCCCTGTTGGTTGGCAGTCGACATCCCCCAAGGAGTCCCAGATTGAAGAGGGTGCAGGTTGGGCTGAGGGACACCCCCTAGCCCAGTGCACAAATTTCATGCACTGGGCTTCTAGTATTAACATAATTTATATATATACAAATATGTGAATATTGACTATAAAGTGACTAAATATATTAATCTATACATACAGTCAATGTTTATTAATGTTAATAAATATTACTTATGTACTATTATAAAAAATATACATACCATGACTTCAGATCCACCTGCACAATCAAGTGCAAAATCCACACCCCCACCGGTCATTTCAATGATGACCTCCTGGATGGGTTTTTGTAGCTCTCTAGGATTGAGGCAGTCAGTGGCTCCAAGGGCTTTGGCCTTTGCAAACTTCTCACTGTTGATATCAACAGCTATGATTCTGGCAGCTCCTGCTACTTTACAACCCATTAAAGCAGAAAGGCCAACACCTCCCAGGCCAAAGATGGCACAAGTAGAACCTGGGGTAACCTGCAGGCAGGAAAATCATAAGTTAACTTAAAGCAGCCGTCCCCACTCCTTTTTATTTATTTATTTATTTATTTATTTATTTATTTATTTATTTATTTATTATTATTATTATTATTTTAAAATATATTTTTATTGATTTCAGGGAGGAAAGGTGCAGGAGAGAGATAGAAACATCAATGATGAGAGGGAACTGATTGTCTGCTTTCTGCACACTCCTCACTGGGGATCGAGCCTGAAACCCAGGCAAATGCCTTGACCAGAAGCAAACTGTGACCTTCTGGTTCATAAGTCCAAGCTCAACCACTGAGCCATGCTGGCCAACTGGCCATCCCTCCATTCACCCCACCCCCTTTTAAAGGTACAGAGTAAGGTGGGGCAGGATCATGTAAATAGAGGACTGCCCATGAGAAGACCAAGGGATTTAGCCACTTGGGGAAATTTACCAATGTAAAAATGAATGAATCACTGACTGAACTTGGAGAATCATTTGAGGGTCATTAGGATCATCAGTTTATAAGGAACAAGCCCAAGTGGAAATCATTTCCTTGTTTTCATTTCCCCTTTAGTGGTATCAGAACAAAACCTGAAAGCTCACACACTGTAAAGGGCTTATTGCTTCCCTTTTAAATAGAACCAGCCCCCCTCGGTCAATGGTGTCCCGCTTTACCAGTGTTAAAATCTGGTCACCTTAGGCATATCCGACTGACAGCTTAGGCCTGCTTCCCTTGGGGAGCAGGCCTAAGCCTGCAGTTGGACATCCTTAAAGCTGCAGCAGAGGTGGGAGAAGCTCCTGCCACTGCCGCTGCGATTGCCAGCCATGAGCCTGGCTTCTGGCTGAATGATGCTCCTCCTCTGGGAGTGCACTGATCACCAGGGGGCAGCTCCTGCGTGGTCAGTGCGCATCATAGTGACCAGTCGTTCCACTGTTTGGTTGATTTGCATATTAGCCTTTTATTATATAGGATTACTGATACTTCCCTTTCCTTTACTTGGTCCTATCAGATATATTTTTCTTCTCCTGAATTGGTTTAGTTGTTCCTCAACAGTGGAAATAACATGGGAATTTAGATAAGCTATGACTGGATTTAAAAGTAAACTGTAGCGTGCTCGCTTCGGCAGCACATATACTAAAAGTAAACTGTAGCTGAATCTCTAGTGTTAATATTCCTGAAAAAAGATCATAGTAGTAGAAGGCGAGCATCTGTATGGAGTCCAGAAAAGGGGATGTGTTTAACCCCAAGAGCAATAATTCTTCCTTGAGAGGCCAGTGCCATCTATAGGAAAATATATATATTTGATTTTTTATAGAGAGAAAGAGAGAAGGATAGAGAGCCAGAAGCATCGATGAGAGAGAATCATCAATCAGCTGCCTCTTGCACACCCCCCACTGGGGATATGCCTGCAACCAAGGTACATGCCCTTGACCAGAATTAAACCTGGGACCTTTCAGTCCGCAGGCCGACGCTCTATCCACTGAGCCAAACCGGTTTTGGCAAACAAATGATATTTTAGAGGGAGGCAATATACTGATGGCCAAGATTAGCATCCCTGTGTGCTTGGCCAATATAATTCTCAATGAAAAGTCAGACCTTGATATTCTGGTTACTAAATCATCTTCTTATTTTCATTAGGATGACTTTGCTTCCTTGAAACCCAACAACTCTAGTCAATCTGATAAAAAGAAATTTTTGTTGCAAAACTGAGGGCAGAATTTCACCAAGATGTTTTATAGATTGTATATGAACCTAGTTTTGTTCATTCATTCACTGAAAGATTGTCACATCCCTACTGTGTGACAGGCACAGGGTTAGGCTCCAGAAACATCACAATGAACAAGAGAGAGTTCTTGCCTTCAAGGAGCAAATAGTTTCATAGGAAGGAGAAGTAATGGGAAATTCCTCCATAGGGTGATAAGTAGACTGGATTAAACATGGGTACTTTGGGGAAAACTGCGAGGGGCACCTAATTCATGCCCAAAGGACTGGAGTAGTTTTCCAACAGGATGTGGCAAATACGAAAAGCCAGCCAGAAGAGGTGGAGGGAGCTGCTCTCCAGGCAATGTTGATGGGAGCAAGGTGTGCAAAGCCCAGAGGCCATAGTGACTGGAGGCAAGGCTGGGCAGGGAAAAGGAGGGAGAACCACTGCAGCGTACTTAAGGAAAAGAGGAATAATGGAAGGGGGATGAAATAGTCATATGTGCTGTTTAGAAAGACCAATTTTAGTTGCAATTTGGAGTCAAGGGATGAACTCTGATGTTAAAGAGATTTAAATTAGGAGATTGAGAGATACTGACATCTCTCTAGTCTCTTGAGTTAAACAGCTTTGAAAAGCTTATAAATTCTAACACGGGACTCAGGGACATATCTTTCCACCATTAGGGCTGCCATCTGAGAACCTGCACTGGAAACACAAAAGGATAGAGTGAGAAGCAGAAGAATTACTACAGTTTAGGGAGGAAACTGCTCCCTCGGGGAGAAAGTAGGCGTGGCCACGAGGGGGTGGGTGGGATCTCTGCAGTTTCCATTGTCTCTTGACAGGATCTGCTGTCCCAGGATGAGGATTCATATTTAGGGGACATATTTACAGGCTGTATTTAAATTAGGGATTACTTATAATATAACATAGGAGTATAGGGAAAGAAATTGACATGAATTGTGCCAACTATATTCCAGCTACTGGGCCAAATGTCTTACCTATGCAATACAATTTAGTTTTCCCACAGTGATTAGTAATATACAGAATATTGTTATACAGAAGTAGAAGTAAAGAGGTTAAATAGCTTGCCTAAAACCACAGGGATGATAAACATAGAGCCAGGGTTGGAAGATAATTCTAGCTGCTTTATCACACTGCCTCCTAATAATGTCTGTTTTATAGAACCTGGTGATTAACCATTTTACCTTGGCAGTGTTGATGGCAGCTCCATAGCCAGTTGAAAATCCACATCCAAGCAGACAGACTCTCTCTAAATTTGCATCATCATCTATTTTGGCAAGATTAGTATCTGATACGACAGTGTACTGAGAGAAGGTACTGGTCCCTAGGAAATGGTAAACTGGTTTTCCTTTGCAGGTAAACCTGCTGGTTTTGTCTTCCATTAGTTCTTGCTGAATAATAGGATCTTTGAATTGACTAGAGAATTTAAAAAAGATACAAAAAAGAGAAAGTAAATGGATCACTGATTACTTTCCTAAAAAAATAATAAGGCATTTTGTATTAGTTATAACAATTTTAAGATATGAAAAAATTGAGAAAATCACTGGGAACTTTTTGCATATATATACACACACACACACATATACACACATATATCGATATATACACACATACACACATACATATATATACACAAACACACATATATATACACACACACATACATATGTATACACAAACACACACATATGCCATATATATATATGTGTATATATATATATATATTCCCCAAAAATGTATACATACTTTAACAATTGATAACTCACGTAATTTTCACTCCTTTTCAGGTTTAACTAATTTGGAATAATGGGTGAAGCCAGACTAAGCTTTGAACAAAGAAAACTTATTCTAAAGTGCTACTAGACTTTTTTAATGGGGATAAATAAAAGGTAAAGTTTATGGTACAAAACTAACAACAGTAAATGAATTGAGGGCATACAAATACTGACAAAATAATTCTTGATGTTTGCAATTCTTGATGATTGCTTTACATCAGCAGTGTCTGGACCAGTATGTTCATCAGTTTGAAAACAGGCATTGACAAAAAAAATATTAATTTCTGTAGATTCTTTTAAATTTTGCAAATAAACTGTATGATAATAAACACTGACTTTATAATCATTCAAAGTTTGTATAAATTTTTGTCATTATATATAATATAAAAACATAAATTTAATATATTTATGGTATATAATATATGATGACATAGTAAATATGCAATATAAATAATACATAAAATATAATATGTATAATACATAATATAATCCTATCTAACAAATGGGTAATATGCAAATTAACCATCACTCCATCACAAAGATGGTGGTGCCCATAGCCACAAGATGGCAGTGTCCAGTCCTCTCAGCCCCGCCTGAGTCCCCCAGTCCTGTGTATGGGGCAGCTGCTGAGAGAGGACAGCATCAATGGCCTTGTGGAATGCTTGCTTCATCGCCGTGGTGATGAGGCAAGCCTTCCGTGCCTGGTCCTGGATGGACCTCTGGGCTGTAGAGAGCCTCTGGGCAGTGGGTGCACGGATTTGTGCACAGGGCTACTAGTGTCATATAACAGACATAATAGTCAGGGGTCATCTAAAGATCATAATGATAACAATAAACGTAAAATTTTTATTTATTTTTTAATCTTTATTATTGAGAGTATTACAAATGTCTACCTCTTTCCCCACTTGTCCCCCACCACTGGGTTCCAACCCTGCCTCCAGGCTTTTACCACGGCTATTATCTCTGTTCATGAACAATGCATATATGCATATATGCATATAAATTCTTTGATTAATTTCTTACCTCCCCCCAACCCATTCCCTCTGGGAATTGTCAGTCTGTTCTCTGATTCCATGTTACTGGTTCTATTTTATTTATCAGTATATTGTATTCATTAAATTCCACATGTAAGTGAGATCCTGTGATACTTGTTTTTCTCTATCTGGCTTATTTCACTTAGCATAATACTCTCCAGGTCCCTGGATACTGTGTGAAAGGGTCAGAGATCTATTTATTTATTTATTTATTTATTTATTTATTTATTTATTTATTACAGCTGCATAGTATTTTATTGTATAAATGTACCACAGCTTTTTTATCCACTGATGGGCACTTGGGTTATTTCCAGATCTTAGCTACTGTAAATAATGCTGCTATGAATATAGGGGTACCTATATTCCTTCTGATTGGTGTTTTGGGATTCTTAATATATATTCCTAGACATGGGATCCCTGGGTCAAGTGGCAGTTCCATTTTTAATTTTTTTTGGAAAACTCCACACCGTTTTCCATAGTGGCTGTACCAGTCTGCATTCCTACCAGCAGTGTATAGGGTTTCCTTTTCTCCACATCCTCGACAGCACTTATTTGTTGATTTGTTGATGTTAACCATTCTGGCAGATGTGAGGTTTTATCTCATTGTCATTATAATTTGCATCTCTCTAATGATTAGTGATGCTGAATATTTTTTCAGATGTCTTTTGGCCGTTTCTATGCCTTGTTTGGAAAAGTGTGCATTTGGATCTTCTTCCCATTTTTTAATTGGATTGTTTGTCTTCCTTTTGTTGAGTTATATGAGTACATTATATTATATATTTTGAGAATTAACCCCTTAGCCGATGTATCACTGGCAAATATAGTCTCCCATACAGTGTGTTCCCTTTGCATTTTGAATCTAGTTTCTTTTGCTGTGCAGAAGCTTTTTAGTTTGATGTAGTCCCGCTTGTTTATTTTTTCCTTTGTTTCTCTGGCCTTAGGCAAGGTATCGGTGAAAATTCATTTGTGTTCTTTTCAACTGTTTGCTGTAATAAACAATGTTGATGTGAACATTCTAGCACATGTCTCCCTGGGTGATTTTGCAACAGTTCCTTGTACACACCTGAGTAGAATTGTTGGGTAGAAATATGCATGTCTTAAACTTCATTTTTGTTTTGCCAATGTACTGCCCAAAATATTGGTACTAACTTATAGTCTTACAAACAGTGTGTAGAGCTTACCTAAGCTTTGCACAAAAATTTGTGAGTGGGCTTAGACAGAACTTGCATTTTTTACATTGAGGCATGTAGAGAGGAATCACTTTGTCACCTAGAAAGAAAGGCCATATGTTGGATGCCTATAAACGTTACTTGTAAATGTTACCTATAAATAATTTCTACCAGATGAATCAGTGGAAAACACCATTCCTTATGGTATACATTTTATGTTCAGCATAGTATAAGTGGCAAAATATTTTGTTACTCTAAAACAGTGATTCTCAACCTTTCTAATGCCGTGACCCTTTAATATAGTTCCTCATGTTGTGGTAACCCCTAACCATAAAATTATTTTCGTTGCTACTTCTTAACTGTAATTTTGCTACTGTTAATGAATCATAATGTAGATATTTATGAAGTAGCAAAGAAAATAATTTTATGGTTGGGGGTCACCACAGCATGAGGAACTGTATTAAAGGGTCGTGGCATTAGGCTGAGAATCACTGCTCTAAAAGATTGCTGATTTTCCCAAGTATTACCTATATTCTTCCCCCCCGCAGCCCCGCCTCCTGCTGGGCACTTAAGCAACAAGTCTATATTGATACCATCAGGTGAAGAGTCCTACCTGAGACTGCTGTCTTTGTAGCTCTCTATATCATAACTGTTATTTACTACATTTCTAAACCCCCATGTGGAATAGGACGTCCTCATATAACAGGAGAGGTGGACAGTGACAGACTAGATATGGAGAGTATATGTTAAACCGTCACCACTGTGTTTCACCATTTGTTTTACTGTTAAGTTTCACTTCTTCTATTTTTCATTCAATTTTGATTTTAAAATGGCTTCTATCCTCTGACTAGAGGCCCGGTGCATGAAATTTGTGCACTGGGTGTGTGTGTCGGGGAGTCCCTCAGCCAACCTGCCCCCTCTCACATACTGGGAGCCCTCAGGGGATGTCCTACTGACATTAGCCCTCTACTATGTAAATGAAATGACCATATTTCCCAGATTTTACCAGACAATTCTGATTCAAGTATTCTGTCTCATTGATAGACTGTGATAGATTGGGTTCTCACTTTTGCTTTGGAAAAGATGGTCCCTTATGTAAACATAGATCAATATAGCATGCAGAGCCAGGAATCTATCAGGAATTATTCCTGAAATATCCTGACATTCCCACTTACTGGATTGAGAAAATAAAATACCTGGTTTGCAGTTGGTCACTCCTGGCCCAACACTCTCCACAATACCTGCCCCCTCATGGCCAAGGATCACTGGGAACAGAGCCTTTGTAAATGCAGGATGGAGAAAATGGGCATCAGAATGGCACAGAGCAGTGGCGATCATCTACAAAGCAACCAGATACTTGAGTTGTTTCTGTAATTATATCATTGGGGTTGTTAAGTGGATAATTTTAGGATAATTTCACTGTCATCCTGAAACTTTACAGCATTCTTAGAACTCAATAAATACATAATGCTTAAAAAACACACAACAAGTTAAGATATGTTAGCATCTATTATTTTCCTCTTATACAAGTCTAGTTTTTTGGCTTTTACTATCATTGGAAAATCATAAAGAGAGATAAAATTGGCAGTTACTGTCTCCAGGAGAGGAGAAATCAAAGGCAATAGGAAAAAGTTAAACAAAGTCTAATAGGCAGAGGAAAGTCTAATAGGGAGAGGAGTGGAGAGAACACAGGTTTCTAGGCCTTGTTCAAATTTTGTTGAAATGACATGAAATAAAATAGAGGAAATTAAAATTTTATAGTTAACAGTGAAAGATCAAGTAAAAGGTTGTCTAAATTAATTACTGCTGTATCTATATTCTTCTTCAAGATTCTGCTCATGAGGTTATCCATTCATTCTCATGTATAATCTCTTTCCGTGGTGGTTGGAGGGAAAACATAGCCTGGGCAGCCAGCTCTGGGAAAATGGAGACATGACCCCAACTTGCCATCAATGATCTGTCCACTCATCGTGGGCTCTTCTCCCTGCTCATCCACTGCCTTCCCTTCATCTGCACCCAAGACCCTGTGCTGCCTCGGGCAGCTCTTAAGTTTTCCTTTCCCTTATTTTGAACCAAATTATCTTTCTTCCTTTTAATAACACTTTCCAATAATTGGCAAGAGGAAAACAAAAAGAAAACATAGCTAATTGTAAATTTCTTAATCTGATTTTTAAGGTTAATGATTAATGTTAGGGTGCTTTAGTTAAATTTTAAGCCCTTTATCAATGACTACTGATAAATAATTAATGATTTACCCTCCTGGAGATAAGGCATGTTTGTATCTGAACCTAAAGACAATCATCCACACTGAGAACGGCAGACAGCGCTTCCCAGTCACATCACACAGGTTTGACCTGACAGAGCCAAGTCTGCACCAAGTCAGTGCCTAGTGTGTCCTGCCCAGGGAGAGTCCCCACTCACCTGGATTCGAACTTCATGTGCCTTGGGGGGAGCTACCTCCACCTCTTCTATGCAGAGGGGCTTGTTTGCTTCCCAGGCGATGGCTGCTTTGCATTTAATAACCTGGGAGACAGAGAGGGCAGAGTGAGAGAAGAGAGAGAGAAGGGAGAGTTTGGGGTGGAGGATGGGAGGAAGGGAGACAGAAAGAGAGAATATTACGGGGGAAAATTAAAAAGCATGTTGATACCATAACTTGTGGCTGGATGTTTTATATAATTATATTATTTTATAGAAAAGGGATTAATGAAAATAAGAAACCATGATCTACATTTGAATCATTGCACTTCTATTTTTTTTCCTAAAAGAATAGTTTATTGATTATTTAGAGAGAGGAAGGGAGAGAATCATAGATCTGAGAGTGATCAATTGCCTTCCACAGGCCCCTCTTTAGGAATCAAACAGGCATCACTTTGGTGCAAGGGATAATGCCCAACCACATGAGCAACACTGGCCAGGGTGCCCTGTTAATTTTTTGAGAAAAACAGGTGCATTAAAGTTTACCTTAATATAATACCTTCATCTTTCCCCCCTTCAGTAGCAGAGGGAATAAATTTATAGGGTTTGGCCAATAAGTATTTGTTGACAGATGGATTTATTGTCAGCTCTGAATCACCTGAGTTCCTTATTGCTAGATTACAGATGTGATTTTACATGTTTGTTACTCATGGTATGATCCCCGCTAGGATCAGAAGTTATTGACAACACCAGGGAACTTGTTAGAACTACAAACCCTGTCCCAAATTCCCTTAATCAAAATTTGCATTTGAACAAAATCCAGGTGGTTCATATGCACATAAAAGTTTGATAAGTGAGGTTTAAATAATTAGTAAATTTATCAGTAGAATAAATAAAAATTAAAAAAAATTGGTCACTGCAAAAATTTTGGGTAAAAATGTATAAAAGAAATTAAATAGTATTATATAAACTTATTTTATAAGTTAAGCAAGATTCTATAATTAAAATTTTATTTAGCCTCTTAAAACATTTTAATTGAATTCTGAGAGGATAGGAGAAGGAGAGAGACATAGAAATATCAATAATGAGAGAGAATCACTGATTGTCTGCCTCGTGCACTCCTCCTAGGGATTGAGCCTGCTACTGGGCATTTGACTTGATGAGGTTTGGAACTGTGACCTCTTGGTTTATAGGTCAACACTCAACCAGTGAGCCACACCAGCTGGGCTTGCCTCTTTTTTAAAAATATATTTTATTGATTTTTTACAGAGATGAAGAGAGAAGAATAGAGAGTTGTTAAAAACATTGATGATAGAGAAATATGGATTAGGTGCCTTTGCACACCCCATACTGGGATGTGCCCGCAACCAAGGTACATGCCCTTGACCAGAATCGAACCTGGGACCTTTCAGTCCGCAGACCGATGCTCTACCACTGAGCCAAACTGGTTCCGGCTGGGCTTCCCTCTTAATACTATATTTTTAGTTTTAAATATAAGTAATATTGAAAGAAAGTAGAAAGAAACAAACATATAATTTTCCATTCTAATACTTCTATTTTTTCTTTTGATGTGATTTTTCTAGTCTTTGACAACATGAATACATATTTTTGACAGTTATGTAATTTTGAATTATTTTAAAAAATATCACTAGTATTATTTACAGGTACAATATATATTTATCATGGGAAGTTTCAAAATACAAACAAGAAGAAAAGAAATAAAATCCACCTGCAATTTTGTGAGATAAATCCTTTGAATTATCCCCCCAAATGGGATCTTATTGTATGTGATACTTTTAATCTACTTTTTCTACTTATTAATATATTAATAATATTTTCCATATTGTTCTCTAACACTACTTTTAGCAAATGCAAATTCTATTTTATGGTTAGAGTACAGTTACCCAAATCTCTCTCTTCTTTTGACAATTATAAATATTTAATTTGACACCCTGCTGTAAGCATTATGGCCAGTCTACAATAATTTTATAAGTAAATTTCTAGCATGAAGGGATACTTTGGGTCAACTTTAAATGAATGCATGCAGAGGTTACCTTAAATGGAAGCAAAAGTATACAAATAAAGAAGAAATGAACAAAGAAATAGTACAAGTACATTTACTTACTTTGCCTGTGGTGCCCATTTTTCTTTGGGAAACTCGCCTTGGAAGCTCGTTTCTGATTTAAGATGTGCTTTCACTTCTGTCCCGATGTTCTCTCTGTATCCTGGATTGAACTACCATCGAATAAATGCCATCCCTGCTCTTTTATTCTCCAATCACTTTCCTTTTTTTATATCTATTCATCTCTGCTCATATTTCATCACGTCATTTGTGCTTTCGTATTTCAGCTGCAAACAGCCTTTGCTCCCAGACATTATTTGGAGGAGATTTTTGTTTACTTTTTTCTCTTTTATTGAAAAATATAATTTTTTAAAATTACTTTACTGATTAAGGTATCACATATTTGTCCTCATCTCCCCCCCCCCATTCCCATCCCAAACCCTTTCCCACACATGAAAAATATAATTTGATAGGTAAAAGTTTATTACACATACAGATGAGTTAACACAAAATTATAAAGGACATTTCCACTGCTCAAGAATCCTTCCTGTACCCACCCTTTTTATGTACCACCCTAATAATTATTTCCTTGCACTTCTTTGTAATTTATGCTTCTATGTAAGTATTGTTTAGCTTTACTTATTAAAAACTTTATATGAATGAAATCTAAGTGTATGTATGTCTTCTCTCAATTCCATGTTTTTGAGAAACCCCCCACATTGCATGTAGCTGTTTATTCTATTATCATTTATTTTCCTTTCTTTTTTCTTTCTTATGATGAATTAAGGGTTGCATAAAAAAGTTTCCTTAAGGAAAATTCAGGACTAATATGCAAACACTACCCACTACTATGCCAAGCAGAGGTTTCGGGTCTCTGGCTGTGCTCAGCAGAGTAGTCCCTGGATGCCTGTAGGCAAGTACCTGGTGCCCCAACTGACCTTATGGAGCTGTGGCCGCCGGCGCTGTGGGCCAGAGCTCCCCTGGAACACTTGCTGGGCTGTTGGTGGGAAATGGAGTGTCCCACAGAGGCTGTTAAATATTTTGAGAAGGTGTGGAAGTACTGTATCTTCAACTTTGGTAGAGAAGGCCAGAGTGTTTTTACAGTACGGCTTTGCTTACCAGCAAGGGTGTATCAGTGTTTTCATTGAGCCACAACTGTGCCTATGCTTGGAATTGCTGGACTTTATAATTTCTGATAATCTGTGGGCGTGGAGTGATAAGTAATTGCTTTTAATTTGTAGTTCTGTGATCATTAATGAGAATAAGCACCAGTGGTGTACTGGAGCCAGCTCATATTGATTTTTGGTCTGCTTATTCTATTAACTAAGATATTTAAAAATAATTACTATAAGTTTGTTCATATAGTCACTGAAGCTATTTTTTTTCCCCATTGATTTTTAGAGAGAGTGGAAGGAGGAAGGTAGAGACATCAATGTGAGAGAGACACATCGATTGGTTGCCTCCTTAATTCACCCCATCTGAGTCCGGGCACCAAACCTCAAACCTAGGTCCGTTCCCTTGACTGTGAATCAAACTCATGACCCATTTTGTGTGCTGGCCAAAGCTCTAATCACAGAGCCACACCAGCCAGGGCCTTTTCCAACTTTTTGCTTTACATACTTTGAGGCTTGCTATGAGTTCATGCAAGTGTTCCTTATACGTATTTTTAAAAGTTTGACAATGTATTTTGCCTTCTCTGTCAGCGTGTTTTTCTTTGTACCGTTTCTTTTTAATCCCATACTATTCCACTATCTTTTCCAGACTTTAAGTAATATTTTATTGTAGAATAATTAAAATTTTCTAGTATACTATTTGGAAGTATAATTTATACTCTTTGCTTCCACTTTCTCACCCCCTTATTTCATTTCTTAACTTCTTTTTCATTCCTATTTTTTAATTAATACTGTTTTCTTGCAAATTGTTAGTGGTTTCGTTTGTAACAAAGGATTTAAAAAAATTTCTCTGTGACATTTAATTTTTCTAGCCTTTTTTATATTTTCATGAATTCTTTCCCTCTGGGGCCAGCAGTGACAGTGGATGGGTATACAATGACGTGGGTAGTCATCTGAACTCGTGTAATATTTTTGGCCATGTATCAACAGAAAGGAGGAAAAGTCTGCATTTGTGACTGGATCACAGACGTTTGCAATGTGTTACTATTTAAAGAGACATTAGAAGCAGCTTAAAGAAGTGGGCTTTCTTGGGGTAGGATGTAGGTGTTGTTGAGAGCAAAACATTTTCGGTCAGACTCAGACCCTGCAAGACCTGAAGACTTCTCCAAGTTCTCAGTGTTAGTAAAGTTATTCGCAGGGCAGGGCAGGGGCCTGCTGAGCTGCCCTCAGGGAACAGAGGTGCAGAGCAGAGCAGAGTAGAGTTGGCATCTGGCTCAGACTTGGGGAGATGGAGGAGAGTGCCACTCCCTTGTTGGCAGAGGCATTCCCAATAGGGCATGCCTTATGCTGAGCCCTCAGTTTTTGTCAAAATACTCTTTGTGATGAGGAGGAGGCAGCCAGCAGTAGCAGCCCGCTGGGACCTAGGCCCTTCTCTGATTCTAATGCAGACAGCAGGTTGAATAAAATCAATATACAAGCCATTTTCTATTCCGAGGCAGGAGGGTGAAGGGCCCCAGAGACAACTGTGCTTGAACAAAGTGTTGAGAATAAACAGCACACCAGATGCAAAAACAAATGACTACTTGACATTGAAGTTAATCATTTTTCCTTGCTTAGTTGTCCATTGTTTCATTAGGACTCAAAGAGTTCTGCCAGAGGCTGAGGGTTGAACCTGCTGCAGGAGAGCCCGCTCCCCCTGGGATCACAGTTTGGAAGACAAAGAACATGTTTGATAGCGCCTATCCCCTCTGTTTGTAGGAGGCAGGGACCCTGAAGGAAAGGCAGGCTGCCCACCTCATGAGGCTGCTTCTCAGTGTGAGAATCAGAGTCTCATGAGAGCCTTTTGATACACGTGGCAGCTGTGACTGCAGAGATAGGCTGGGGATGTAGCTCACCTTCCTGGCTGATCTTAACTCATGAGGCAGCTGGACGAGGTAAAAACATGACATCACATCTCCTGGTTTCCCGAGGTCTGTCGAGGTCTGCTGATCCACGGGACCCCTGTCTGATCTAGTGGCTTCAGACCTAGGGGAGCTTAAACTGCAGCAGAAGAACCTTAACTAGGAAGGGAACTCTGGTGTGTGTTTTGGAGAAGAGGGTTTGAAAGAGACTCTATATCTAGGGAATAGGAAAGAAGCCACATCCCACGAGGGCTCAATCTTAACCCAGGTTCTAGGAGAATTAGGAAGGAGTAGGGCAGAGAAGTGGGTAGAGAGGGATTGGGTGTCACAAATCCCTGCTGGACCTTGTCTTTATCTCATCTACTTCTTGAAGGAAAGAAACAATGATGCTCATTGGTAATAACTACACACTATCTCCTCTTTCCTTGGCGAGTGGAATAGAAGCCAGTTTTATTGTTTAATACCATAGCTGCCTCCTAGGGTGCATGGATCCTGGTAATTAATGTCTCTCCTTTTCTTTCAAGCCCCTTTTTCTTTCTGCTGCATTTTAGATGGCTTGGCTAGGAAGCCAGGTGACACAAACTGCTGAGAGCTAAATTGTCCTGGTCAAATAAAAAAAAAACTTAAAGTTCCTTTGGCAATCCCATGAGAGAAGAGGTGAGTGACATAGAAGCATAAGTGATGGTTTGAGACTGGGTTACATAAGGTGAAATGCCAGTATAAGTATCTCTGGGGTGAGTAATACTAAGAATGAAGTACTTAGTGTTTAACTGGGATATATTTAAGTTAATGTAATCAAGTCCCCTTCCCCCCACATCAGCTGGCTTTAACCTGAATGTACAATAAACTCATGATTGGTGAATTTTATTTCTTTGGTGTGAAATGAGTGGAGTTTCATGGGGATGAGAGACATAGTGTGCAAAGAAACAGGAGCCCAGAGGTAGGGGCAACTATGAAAATGGGAGTATCTTGGGGGTGACTGTTTATTTGAAGGGTTTGGAATTAGGTGATTCAAATCAACCCTACACTAGCTCTAACAGGGAGCTGTTCCTAGGTGAGACTGGGTGATAAAGGATCAATTTTGATGAGGTAGTGAGAGCGGAATCAGATACGAGCTCACTACGGAATGAATCAGAGGCAAGATCATAGACACAGTGCTGTGTGGATAATCCTTCTAAGTCATGGAAGTTATACAGGATGCAATTTAGTTGGTGAAATATGCCACAGATCTTGTGTTCATTACATTGTCCTTAAAGTAACATGACACAGCGAATACTGAAAAAGAAAAAAAAGAAAGAAAAACTTAAGTTGAAACAGTTCCAAAGCAACATATGTGTTTGTGATTTCACATTTTCACTTTGTAGACCAGTAAGTAAGTTAGATTCCTTCTCTTCATGTTATGTGAAAAATGGAGATATTTTCAAAATGACACCCAGCTCCGAGGGTGAGGAACACGTAAGCAGGTCTGTGCCCTGTGGGGAAGGCCAGTGTCCAGGTGGTGGCTGGAGTTCTGTTTGTGGGCCAAAGATAGGTGTCAGAATTTGGAATTCTGGGCATAACTCCCCCCTTTTGAAATAGAACAATCATGGCCTCTTCATAAATTATGAACTCAAACTTGAGCTAAAAATTTCTGAGCTAAACTTATTAGTTAATGTGTCATATAAAAAATGCCAAACTGGAAATAAAATACGAATGGTGAGGGTAGATGAGCACTTAAATATTTCAAGAATTGCATTGATAGACTGGGAGTAAATTAAAGAGGGAGAGGAGGTGCTTTATAGATTCCTGAAACCGCCTTTGCTTGTCTGCATGTGGTTCACCAGCCACGACTTTTCTTCCCCGCCTCCAACTCCCACCCCCACTTCTTGCCCCAAACGCTCAGACATTAGGGGAGGAACTTGCCATTTTCCGGTTTTCATGAATTTAACGGCTTCATTGACTTTATCAAGGCTCATAGTATGGGTAATCAGTGGATCTAGATTAAACTTCTTTGCCATATAATCTGAAACCAGTTTAGAGACGTTCTCTCTGCTTTTCCAGCCTGGAAATACAACAGATTAACAAGATATTTTATTCATGAGACTCACTCTACACAAAGGGCCTAGTGAACTGCTGGAGGTGTTGACTTTACTGAGGAAATCTAAGGATTTCCCATTAACTTGTCTCAGTAACCAGGAGAATGCCTGTCCCAAACATATACCCCGTGGAGAAGGCTGTTCTCCTGAAAGTCCTGAGACCTCTGGTGCTATAGAGAACTTACTGAAAGCCAGCGGACTGTGGTCCTTATCTCAGATGCTTTGGTGTCAGGTGGCACTGTTGGGAGCTGGGAGCCCACATCTAATGTACAGGGTGTCCCCAAAAAGTGTTTCCACACTTTAAGTGCTGATGGCTCAATTCTGAAAAGGAGGTGTATTTTAATAAACACTGCCTTTCTAATTATTCAAACTGTGTGAACACATTTTTTGGGGGGATAGCCTATACAACAATAACAACAACAAAAAAAAAAAAAAAAAAAAAAGGGAAAAAAAGAAAAAAAAGAAAAGGCCCAAATCTTGGGAACTGTGAAAGAAAGTAAATCAAAGGTCAGGAATAGGACATTTTATGTGTGGTTTTGGTCTGCAGTTTCATGAAAGAGCCAAATATCTTAAGGAAAGAGAAGAATTTCCACATGGCAGTGATCTCACTGGCAGTTTTTGGAACAAAGAATGTGTATACAGCAAGATACGAATGAAATGTTTTCTCTGGAAGTAAGAATTGCACAGAGAAAGGTGGGATCAGCCAAGGGAACAGAAACTTAGCATTGTATTTTCTGTTTTCATAATTTTTAAGAAATACTACTTCTATATTTAGGACTGCTAAGTGACATGCCAACAAGTTACCACACAGAGAGGTGGTCTGCCTGTTTCTGGAAGGGAAAAGTAAGGTGTAACTGTGCAAGGAGGCAAGTGTCCTCAGCAGCTCATCCTTTGATAGGGTCTTGGCAGTTACGTGCTTTTCTTGGTTCCAGCCTGTGCCACATTCTTCAGTCTTCCCACCTGTTCTCAAAATTATCCAACACTATTCCAAGGAATGTATTTTGCATTTAAGTTGGTTTCTGATGTATGTAATCAAGAATTCCAATGTGCTGCATGTCATGGCATGAAGGGCTAGTGTATTTTTCTATTTGTTTTTCAAAAATTGAAATATCACTGATATAACATTGTATTAGTTTTCAGTGTACAATATAATGATTTGATATATATAAATATTGAAAAATGATTACTATTAAACCAAATTTAATTAACATTCATCACCACACATAGTTAACACTTTTTTTTCTTGTGATGACAGCTTTTAAGATCTGTCTTTGTTTATATGTTTTGCCTGTTGATTGGATAAAGCATTTTCGTATCTACATAAGGAACACTTTCACTTGTGCTTTTTTTTTTTTCCTTTTTTCAACCAAACAATCCAAAGAGGAAGGCCCCAGGAACACAGACTAGGCTAGGCAGTGTTTCTTGACAGTAGCACTAAAGGCAGCAAGAATGGCACGGGGAATTGACAAGGGATTTTGCATTAACTTGTCTCAGTCATCAGGAGAATGCCTGATGGCATTTTGGGTGGGAAAAGTCTTCCGAATGTAAATTGCAGGAAGTTTAAGCAGGCCTGTTCAACACCCATTAAATGATACCCTTAATTGAAAACTATTGAACCAGAGAAATGAATTAACTAAATGATGATTATGTGAATGTTTAAGTGGCCAGTGTCATAGTTTTTTTTAATGAGAATTATTTAAAATATTGGTGATGTTATTTTATGAGTGTATGTATTTGTAATCAGCAGTTATGGTCTGTAAACACAATAGAGGGAAATAACAGTGTGTTCGTCCAATGATCCCAAATGGAGGAAATGGAAGTACAATCTAAACTTGGATTTTTGCCTTTTCTCTGGTTCTGTCATCTATCTACTAATCATTTTTGCAAATGAACAGGGTAAGACTCCTTATATCTGTAAGACTACCCTACCATAGCTAATTTGGAGACCATAGCTAGCTCATTAGTCCAAATAATGCAGATGGCTCCTAATTCTCATCTCTTTTGCCCAAGAATTCTGATTGCCCAAAAATCTCTGGCTAAATATACATTTTGTTAAATATCAGATTACTTGTTTAGAAGCACAGGTCTTAAACAGACTTATTTAATTTAGCTTGTTTATTCTTTTTCATAAAAACTCCTAAAATCTATAAAATTTTAAAATAATATAAAAATCAAAGTGATTTGATGATTTTTTTTCTTTCTCAAAAAATAAATATCATTTGCTTGTTATCAGTAGTATTTCTTTTTAGTCATAAATCTATTATGTTTAATATAGTTTGAGTTGGTATAATGACAACTCAGTTGTTTCATATAAGATTTACATTGTTGAACAATGACCACTAATGGTTCAATATACTCTCCAAAGAATTCCAGTTGGCAGGTATATAACTCTATTGAAGTATGGTTATTGATCACAAAATTGCTTTTTCCTTTTCAGTTTAGAATTTGCATTAAACTTTGGACATTGGCTTCTTCACTAATCAATTAAAAAATAATTTTATTGATTTTTTACAGAGAGGAAGAGAGAGGAATAGAGAGTTAGAAACATCGATGAGAGAGAATCATTGATCAGCTGCCTCTTGCACACCCCCTACTGGGGATGTGCCCGCAACCAAGGTACATGCCCTTGACAGGAATTGAACCTGGGACCTTTCAGTCCACAGGCCGATGTTCTATCCACTGAGCCAAACCAGTTTCAGCCACTAATCAATTTTTTAAAGTCTCTTCTCCTCTTTGTGAGAAAAAGCTTACCAAGAGGCAACTGTAGATATCCAATATTCCTCTCCCTATATTGGATATTTGTGTTGAAACAAAAACTGTGGTATAAAGCTCTTGTTTTATGTGCTTTCTCAAGCATTTATAATACATTTATCTATTATGCTATCTCCAAAACCCCACACATCTCCACTCTTTTTGCTTCATCCATACCTCCAAAAACAGATCCCTTCAAAGAACGTCCTGAGAAGAACAAGTAGCCATTGATGTTGAGCTGGACACCATAATTCAAGAGCCCCACAATCACGCAGACTCCATGGCTCTCATGGCAGGAGGCTAGGGCAGCTGCCTGTTGGAAAGCAATGCAAGACAATGCAGGGGTTAAAAGATGTACTTCAGAGGTAGGGACTTAAGTCTAAATCTTTGCTTGACTGCTGAATGGTCTATGACATTCTTTTATGGCTCTCTATCCTTATTTGAAATAACATTTTTTTTTTCTTATAAGGATATGCTGAAACACAAATAAGACATTGTGTACTGCCAGGTATATATAGTATTTGGCATTTTAGATTAAACAGATAGAAATTTAAAAATTAAAATAATATCTATGGTAGTAATACTACTATTACTACTACTACTACTGCTACTACTAATTTTATTAAGAACCATTATTGATACTGATGGTTAGAGTTGACATCTTTTCAACAAAAAAAGAGTACAGTTGGATATTTGTATTACATCATGTATTAGCAAAGTCATAAACTAATGTTATTTTGAAAGGCTATTTCTCAGAACCTGATGGTTTGTGGGAAAGATTGTGAGAGAGATTTATGTGTAGTGAGGAGTGAAAAGGTTTTGTAAGCTGAAGAAAGGACCAAGGCTAGAAGAGGCAGTTCTTGGATTTCCATTCTTCTGATGGAGTGGTACAACCCAATCTTTACATTGTTTCTACAAATCTTCCAGGAAAGCAAGTCTCAACTTGCAAAATAACTTCTTCTCCATTCATATTCTCTGATATCAACCACATTTAGCCAGAAAAACAAAATCTTTTTTCTTTATTTTTGAAATGAGTTTATTTAACCAAGATTGGTAAATATTTTCCTTGGAAGCTTATCTCAGATCTAACCTGAAAGACTTTGTTATGAGAGCAAAGCTCACATTGCTTTAAAGGATTATTAATCCAATATTTTCCTTATCCTGCCTAAGTGCTCTGGCTTAGACATTAAGTTACTGCGCTTCTGCTTGTTATGAAATAATCCGTTGAGAATTCATAACAAGGCCTTTCTGTCCTGTTTATTGGAGGTTGTCTGCTTATTTGAAGGGAATGGTATGATTTCCTTCATGCCATTGAGAAGAGAGAGGAGAAAAACACAGTATGGGAGTTCTGGGTAATGAATAGATTTGTAGGAGTGGACAGAGGGTATCAGGTGGGATGTCATGAGTGCAGGAAAATCAAATAGAGGATTGTGGAAGAAGTTTTATAAGTTTTGTTCAAGTAAAATCTAAGGTGATGATTGGTAGAAATTTGGTAATTTTCATTCATGAGGATTACATACCACCATTTCTGGATTTCCGATGACCTCAAAACAAAATTCCACACCAGCACCTGTCATTTCAACTAAAACGTCTTGAATGGGTTTCTTGAAGTCCTGTGGGCTGATGCACTCAGTGGCACCCACTTGCTTTGCCTTCTCAAATTTGTCTTTGTTGATGTCCACCCCAATGATCCTGGCCGCACCGGCTGCTTTACAGCCCATGACAACAGACAGACCGACTCCTCCAAGGCCAAACACCGCACAGGTGGAGCCTGGGGTCACCTGAGCACGTAAAAGCATAAAACAAAAGCAATGAGGACACTCATATTCACTCAGTTGGAAAGATTAAGCCTGTATATACTTTTTTTTGAGATGTAGCAAAGGATATTTTAAAATAATACATATTATAACTAGTAATTTCTCAAGGTATTTCTAAATATGGGATATTTTTTTTTTTTTTTTTGCCAACTAACAAAAAATAACCTGCAAATAGAACATTTCAACCAAGGAATTAGCATGGATAGAAGCAGTTGAATGAACTTTCTTTGATCCGTAAGACTTATTTGGGTTAGTATTTACTTAATTTAGGATATTTTGAGTTCTTTAAAACAATCTTCAAATTCCTACAATTCTTTCTTTCTCTTTTCTTGTGAATATCTGTAAACTTCCCATTACTTACAATGTCAATGGCTTATGAAGGCAAAGGCTTATTTCTTATTGGGTCCCAAATGAGGCTAATTTAAGTTTAATCCCTTCCATCCTATCTCTTTGTATAGTATTGGGACTAATAAAAATTGGGGGGAAAAAGAACTAAAATTCAACAGCCAATTAAACAGTGGAGCTGGACAGGATTGGGTGATGTTCCGAAACAGAAGTATAACAGTAACCCACTCAGTCAGAGTGTGGTTGCCTGACCAGTCTGTCTTATACAGCAACACCCCTTTCATCAGTTGATCTTTCTACTCTCCTGTTCTTTTCACGAGCATGGATCACCACCCAATGCATTATACAACAGAATAGAAACTTGATGAGTTTTGATAGCTGCTAAATCTCTACACCTGCAATAGTGAATGACTTCATAGATGGTTGTTGAATGAAAAAAAGAATGAACTGGGATATGGAAGACACTGTGATTTTGTGACTGTGTTATGTTTAATGCCAGTAATTCCTGATGTTTCCACTTATGAATGGCAACTACACATAATTTGCATTTTCTACTGACTAAGAGGGCATGGGAAAGATGTTGACGAGGGTATGGGCTGACTAGGCAGATTGTAAAGAACTCAGGGATGTTTTGAGGCAGGTTTGTGATTCTTCCTCAGGTTGAATGATCAGATATGGCCCAGATGCACGAGGCTGATCTACCTTATATACTAAGAGTTCCAATCATAATGGGTATAAGTGTTTCTCACCTTGGCAGTATTGATTGCAGCACCATACCCAGTGGAAAAACCACAGCTAATGAGGCATACTTTCTCCAGAGGAGCCGTTGCATCAACCTTGGCAACTGAGATTTCTCTTATCACCGTGTATTCAGAGAAGGTGCTCGTATTGGCAAAGTGATATATTGTTTTTCCCTTGCAGGTAAATCTACTGGTACCATCAGTCATCAGGCTGGTATGCGACTGTCTTTAATAAACGAAAAAAAATATTTAAAAAATATTTTGAATTGGCAAGCTTATATTCCTTCCAAGGACATTGAATTAATTTTTCAAAAAGAAAATAAAAACTTACTTGAGTTGTATACAATAGTTGTCTTCAGAATTAAGGCATGAGGCACACTCTCCACACTGTGGTAGAAAGAGTGTGATAACTTTATCACCTAAGAGAACAAAGTCATTTAATAAGATGTTATCTTTTATAGTAAAGAGATAGCTGTTTCTCAAAATGTAAACAGCAAGGCACCCAAGAAGAATATGAGTCCTGAGAGCAATCTCCACATTTAAGTGTGGAGAATATGAAATACTTACAAGAAGGGACCCCTTTGGCATCTGGGTCCCCCTGAGCTCATTGGCCAAATCTTTAGGAGCTGGCCCCTGACTTGTCTCCTTTGTAATTTATCCTGACGTTTCAAATGTTAGCCATTAAACCAAATCTTGTCTTTAATTTTCCACATGAACTTCTGGTGTCAGGAATTGGATTTGTCAACATGGATACCACATGTTCACAACGTACGCTTCTGGATCCAGAAAAAGGGATTGCCTATATACTGTGCTATGTATTTTACATAGGTCTGTCTCCTTAGCCATGGAGACAAAGGTAAGTAAATTTCTCTAGTAATATTCAACATATAAGGAGAAGATCAGAATAACTTGCCTAAGATGGACGTTCTGACTGCCCCAGTGTCTATCACTGTAAACCAGAGTAATTTATTTTATATTTTTAGTTAAAGACCTTTGTAGGACATAGGTTTTTTTGTTTTGTTTATTTTTTAGTCTTTTGAAAGTAAGAACTTAAACTGCACAAATGTGAAGCTTAGCCCTAGTCTCCAGTTCCCTTTCCCCCACCCTGGAGACAATTACTCTTCTCAGGCTCCATGGTATTTTTAGAGATAGAACCCCTTTAAAAAGGCAAAGGCTAGCATGTTATTTACCCTGTGGTAGACCTTGATTTTTGTTTTTCTTTATTAATCTTCACCTGAGGACATTTTTCCATTGATTTATAGAGATAATGGAAGGGAGCAAGGGAGTGATGAAGGAAGGCGAGAGAGAGAGAGAGAGAGAGAGAGACAGAGACAGAGAAAGAGAGAGAGAGAGAGAGAGAGAGAGAGAGAGAGAGAGAGAGAGAGAGAGAGACCCATAGATTGGTTGCCTCCTGCACATTCCCCAACCAGTGCCAAGGATGGATTCCTTGACTGAGAATCAAACCAACACCAGCCAGGGCTAAGTCTTGGTTTTAAATAAAACAATATAACTGGGAGATTTCTCATTTTAGTACATATAGCACTCCATCATTTTGTGTAATAGTTATGTGGAACTTTGTTGTATTGATATATCATAATTGATTTAACTGGTCTCTTAAACATTTAGGTTATTTCCTGCCTTAACTTGTGTGTGTGTGTGTGTGTGTGTGTGTGTGTGTGTGTGTGTGTGTGTTTTCCCAACATAATAAATAACAATGCAGTAAGTATTTTGTGCACATCTGGGCTATGGTAGGCAGAATTTCCAAAATAGTCCTCTAAAGACATCCTGTCCTAATCCTCAGAAACTGAAAATGTTGTTACCATGGCTGTGAATATGTTATATAGAAAGAGGAACTTTGAAAATGTATTTAAGGGTACTAATCAATTGACACGAAAATAGGGAGTGCCCTGGAATCTTTAGACAGACCCAGTAATCACATGAGCCCTTGAAAGGACAGCAGAGGAAAGCAGGAGAGAAAGACAAAGCAATTCAAAGCACCGGAAGGATTTGATGTGCTATTGTTGCTTTGAGGCAAATGGGTGAAGGGGCCACGTAGGAAGGGATATGAGCAGCTTTAAAAAGCTGAGGGTGACTGGTCAGTCCTACAACCTCAAGGAACTGGTTCTCCAGAGTCTCCAGATAAGAATCCAGCTGTCCAAAGACTTGATTTCTATCTTGTGGGACCCTAAGCAGAGAACCCAGTCAAACCCACACAGACTTCTGACATATAGAAATGGACATGGTAAATTTGTTTTGTTTTAAGCTGCTAACTTCGCAGAGATTTTTTTTCCAATCAGCAATAGAAAGCTACGACATGGGTATATATCTGTGGACAACTTCCTAGAATTGGAAGTATTGGGTGCAAATTAGGTGCATATAAATGATGTTACATATTGCCAAATTTAAAGTTATATAAACTTACTTTTCAAATAATAAGCTACAAAGAAATTGGTTGCCTACACTCTTATCAATCTTATAGATTATCAAACTTTTAAATCTTTTCTAATCTGGGTAAACAATGTTTTACCATTGTATTTAAAAATTGTATTTATTTAATATGTATATATTTTCCCCTCCATACTAGATTGTGTATTTCCTTTGCCCATTATACCCATTATACTGCTGGGCTGTTGTTTTTGTTTTTGTTTTTTTAATTGCTTTTAAAGAATTCTTTATATAATAAAGAAATTTGCCCACTTTTAAAATTTGTTTATTGATTTGGGGAGGGCATTTTTATTTTTTAATCCTTACCAGAGGATATGTTTTTATTGATTTTTAAAGAGAGAGGAAGGAAGAGAGAATGAAACATCGATATGAGAGAAAAACATTGATCAGTTTTTCTGTACACACCTTGACTAAGGATCGAACCTGAAACCTAGGTATGTGCCCTAATTGGAAATTGACTCTGAAACCTTTTGATGTATGGGATGACGTTCTAATCAACTGAGCCACCCTCAGTTGTAATTTTTATAAATGGAATTTTAAAAACTTTTTATGTTGTCAACTTTATATATTATTTACATCATCTCTGAGTGTGTGTGTGTTTCTGATTAAACTTTCTTCTCTGAAATAATACAATGTTCTTTTAGTTTTTTTTCACATTTAATTCTAGGATTCATAGAGCATTATTTTTTTAATATAAAAAATGCAATAGCAACACAATGTCCCCCTTCCCCCAAAGACTCTCAAGTTGTTTCAATGTCATTTGTTGAATAATCATGTTTTTCTCCTCATATTTAAAAGCCAGACCTAATCCTGAATTTTATTCCTATGAATATATTTGATCCCGTTCTGGGCTCCTTCTCTATTTGGTTCCACTATTTGACTATTTATCATATGCTTCATTTAAATAAACTATTCAACAGTGCACTTCTTTTTGTACATTTTTGTCTCATTTATACTTTCAGGTTCTGTTTCAGTGCATTTTAGTTCTCGTCCTTATTAATATCAAGATATAAATGCAAAGGATATATACATTTAATTTTTTTTATAACATAACTAGAGGCCCAGTGCATGAAATCTGTGCACAGGGCAGGGGGGAAGTCCCTCAGCCCAGCCTGCACCCTTTCCAGTCTGGGACTCCTAGGGGGATATCTGACTGCCACTTTAGGTTGCAATCCTGGACTGCTGGCTCCTAACCCCTCATCTGCCTGCCCACCTGATTGCCCCTAACAGCCTCTGTCATGACCCCTCACTCAGAATCCAGGCTTCCCTTCTCAGCCAGCTGCAGGAACCAGAGATCCAGGCTTCCCTCCCTCTGACTGGCCACAGACACCTGGGACCCAGCAGGCCACAGGCACAGTCATCTGAGACCGAGGTGGGTGGCATGGGTCACAGCCACAGGTGCCTGGGACCTTGGGCAGGCAGCTTCTCCCAGGCCCATCTTTGTCAGGATGGGTGTCCAGAAGACATTAGCATATTACCTTTTTATTAGTATAGATTGTCATTATTATTTTTTAAAAATATATTTTATTGATTTTTTACAGAGAGGAAGAGAGAGGGATAGAGAGTTAGAAACATCGATGAGAGAGAAACATCGATCAGCTGCCTCTTGCACAGCCCCCACTGGGGATGTGCCTGCAACCAAGGTACATGCCCTCAACTGGAATTGAACCCGGGACCCTTCAGTCTGCAGGCCGATGCTCTATCCACTGAGCCAAACTGGTCTCGGCTATAGATTATTTTTTTTCTAACAAACAGTCAACATTTCTCCTTTTATGTCACTTGATCTCATATTTTCCTTATGTAAGTTCCAAGTTGTTGCTATTTCCTAACTCCAGGGACCTGTCAGCTCATACCTGCTTTCACGGTGCTCACTCCTTCTCCCACACTCTCAACGATTCCAGCCCCTTCATGGCCCAAAATGATGGGATACTGCATTTGATTCTCCAACATTTTAATCTCGGTACCACAGAGCCCTGTAGCCGTGATCTGTATGGAAGGCAAAGAGTAATATAATTTTCTCTATCTCAGATAAGGTATTTTAGAATTGTTAATGTTTTAAATCTTTTTTTGTAGGTTGATATGCTGCATATTTCTTAGTTTTATTTCTAATAACTTTATTGTGTTAATAATTTGTTTAAAGCAATGCAATATTTTTTTATTAGGTAATTTCAGAATCAAAATGATGATTTTAAAACTTACTGGGGAGGTCAGAATGGGTTCAGGAGGGACAGTTGTAAAGCCACAGTGTGACCTCAAATATCTTACTGTGTCCTTCATCAGAGCTTGCGAGTGGAGGTGTTGGGGAGGAGAAAGCCCTATGATATCGATAGAAATGAAGGAATTGGAACACAGGAAGGAAAAAAATATACTATCTTTTATTATAGTTGTGTTATTGATACAATTTATAATCCCACTTTTTGCTGTAAATCAGCCAGACAGTTTAAAACGGAAGCACTCTGGAGCAGCAGTCTAGAAAGGCAGAAATCCTGGCTATGCCCTTCCTAGCTGTGTGACCTGGGATACATTATTCTTCATGAGTGTCAGTTTCTTTATCTCTACATTGGTGTGAGGAGGGTTTTACACACACACACACACACACACACACACACACACACACACACCAAGAATTGAAATCTATTGAGATTTGCTCATGTAAAAGGGGGATTATTGGAAGAATACTGTAAAATTGCTTACAATCCAACTGGAATTTACAGTTAGGCCTCACGGATCTAGAATCCAGCAAGCAGACTTAAGATCTACACTCTGATTCAACATGTGCATACTGTTTTCTGAAGACAGGCTTTTTCTTATTTCTCACGCTTATATATATGGTAAAAGATGGCAATCGGTCCCAAGTTTTCCCAGCCTCTTCAATGCCTACCATCTCCTGCTTTACTCGGTTTCTGTATCTTGTTAAAATTCATGGGTGAGAAATTCATATTTGTAGCTTGTCAAATAATGGTTGTATACCTTTGGGTCCGGGTCTAAACCTGGCTGTGTAAGTGGTGACCCTGTGGGTAGGAGTGAGTGGCCAGGTGGCCTCCTGTGCACCTGCATGGATTCAGGCCTGAGAAGACTCTGAGAAGTGGTATAGATTGCACAGGTGACAAAGAAAAGGACTGCCTCTTTGTAGTCCATTACAAACAGTACTTAGTCATCATATTAAAATTAAATAATGACAACGAAGTCAGGTGGACAATGTTCTGGTCTGGTGGCCCCTGGAGGAAATGTAAAGACTCTCATGACCAGACTGTACCCCAAACCGATTAAATAAAAAATTCTGAATGTCTGGGGTGGGACCCAGTTATCAGCATTTTTTAAAGCTCTCGGTGCTTCCAAATATGTAATCAAAGTTGAGGAAAGCTGTTGACATCTGTGTTCTTACTCTACTTAGCTCTGTGACCAGTCATTACACCTCAGTGGATTAAAATCTTTTCATCTATAAAATAACAGGTATTCCTAACCTGATCTCCCAGGGGTTAGACTTGATTTATCTATAATCAAACAGATTTTTTCACATGTCAGATTTCAAGATAACTTAAACATCATGAAGAATGTCATAAACAAATATGAAAGTACAGATTAAAATATGGTCAGTGGTCAAAACTTCCTTTAAGTAGTATTCTGCAGCTGTGAATAAATATCCTTTGGGCAACTAGCCTATGCTATACCTCCTTGTCCTTTTCTCTGGCTGGACTTAAAGACAGATGGAAATGTTTAATGAAAAAGAAACAGAAGACAATGTAGTTTTCTTCCTGATTTTAACATTGTGAAAATAATACATAACTTGCAGTGAACCGGTCTGATTTTTGGCGTGGACATGTGTATTTTTTCTTTTTACCTTTATGCGAACTTCCTTTGCCTTTGGTGGGGCTACTTCTACCTCCTCAATGGAAAATGGTGCGCCAGCCTTCCAGAGTACGGCTGCTCTGCATTTGATCACCTGGGAAAGGGAACATGGGGCAGAAAGGGAAACACTTTAGGCTTGGGAGATGGATTCTATAGTAGTGATTATTAGAAGGTTTAGTCCAGATCTTCCACACTCAACCAAAAAAAAAAAAAAGTCATTGCTTAAATATATTCTGTGTGTAGCCTCTTGGGTCTCAGTCCAACTTTTCTTATACTATTGGTCTCTTCATTCAAATTAGTTTTGCAATACTAATTATATTTACAAAGTGCTACACAATCAAGAGGATAGATGCCATACTTTTGATCTTGAAGTTGTCCAGTGTTTGTCTCAGGGTAGGAATGGCACTGCAGTGTGGGAATTGTTTGTGATCCTAGGTGTGGGAGAGAAGGAGAGAACCAGTTTTGGAGTGGAGGGGTGTGCTATGGAGCAGATCATGGAGAACATCTAGTTGTGGCAATTCATCAAATGGTGATGGTCATAGGCAGGTTGAGGTTGGAGAGGTTGTTGATAGCAAAGTAGTTCTTTTTCCGATTTCAGCACACCACTGTTCTCACTATAAATCCTCTTCCTATGTGTTCTCACCTATTTTTGTAGATTCTACCACCATCTTTATGTAGATGACTTTGACAGCTTGTATTTATGGATAGACATCTTTAAGCTCTAGACTCATTTATTCACCTGCTATTTGAATGTCCTCAGGTATCTAAAACTCAACATGTTAAAATATGAACACATAATTATTTCTTTCTCTTTTTTCCCACCCCTTGCTGTCAGTGGTGGACATTACCCACAATCTGCTCCGCCTTCTGCATTTTCTATTTCACTGTGTGGCCATGTAACCTATTCACTCACCCAAGGAAGAAACCTGGGAAGTAGCCCTAATTTTTATCTCTTCACCTCTATCATCTAAAACTTTCTGGAATCTGTCCCCTCTTCTCCATTTCTGCTGCTAATGTGTGGTCCATGACTTTACCTTGCCTTTTACCTGGCTTAGGTTCATCACCTTCAAATCCATCTTCTATATCATTGCCATTTGAACTATAATAATTTCCTACCTAAAATATTATGGCTACCGATAGTTTATCAGGATCTGTTGACATGATCTATAAGACTTTCCATGAGTTTCTCCTTATCCATCTCTCCAGCCTTATTTCTGGTCATATCCTTCCTCTGACTTTAACCTCCTGGCACAAAAAATATTTTGGAAATGCTAAGTGTCCCCTTCTGAGGAAAGTCTAGCCAGCTTAGGAACACTTCCTCTCCCTCTCTTGCTACCCTTGCACACACTCTTTGTTTATAGTGGTAAAAGGCAGTTCATTTTTAGAGGATAATTTTTTTTACCTATCTTCCCCTGCTGGTTTAACAAAGCAGAGTATTATTGTAAGGTAGTGGTGCTGAAGGTGTAGTCCCAGACCAGCAGCATCAATATTTGCAAATTATTGGGTCTTACCCCCAAACTTACTGACCTAATTACTCTGGGGGAGGGGGCGGGGAGGCGGAATGGAGAGGAAGGTGAGGTACCAGCAACAAGTTCTCCAGGATGTTGCTCTAGAAAACACTTGTGCACTCTTATAATTATCCTATATAATAAAAGGCTAATATGCAAATCAACTAAATGGCTGAATGGTCAGTTGCTATGGCATGCACTGACTACCCAGGGCAGATAGATGCTCAACACACAGGCTGCCTGGGGTGGTCAGTGCGCTCCCACAGGGGGATCACAGATCAGCTAGAAGTGAGGAGCGAGTTTAAGCTGTCAGTTGGACATCCCCTGAGGGCTCCTGGACTATGAGAGGGCACAGGACCCGCTCCCCAGTACAAAAATTTTGTGCACTGGGCCTCTAGGTCTTTTATAATTACTCTGTGTCTCCATAAGATCTGTGTCTTCAAATCTGGAAAGTTCATATAGGACTTGATATATTACTTATGAAAGGACTGAAAACACCAGGGAAAGGCAAAACATACAGGGAGTAAAAGCAAAGGGAAAGGAGGAGAGGAACTAAGACTAAGACAGTCTCTCACCTTTAGGAATATAGAGACTAGTTGGGTGTTGAGGTGTTGTTAAACAGACAAGCACACAAATGGACGCAATTGTGACATGACATAAAGAAAGCTGTACTTACTTTCCCTGTAGTACTCATGCTGACTTTCTTCGAGGACTTCTTGCCACAAATGAGTATGTTGGGAAAGGGAGATTCTGGTTACAACTTTCACTGTGGAAAGTCCAAGAGTACACAGGTTGATTAAGAGGCTGTGTCCTGTGTTTTTGTGTAATCTTGTCATTGATATGCCTGAAACTCAGATTGTCCCATTTCTTATCAGAAACAGATTTAGCTCAGTGAAAGTGAACAAAAAGTGAAGTTGTGCAAAATATTTTCTCTTTCAATAATATATAATTAGTATTGCAAAACTAATTTGAACACAAAACTAGTAAAACAAGAATAATTGGGTTGGTGTTTGAGAGGCTTCATACAGCATATATTTAAGCAGTGATTTAAAAAAAATTCTGGACTAAACCTTCTAATAATCATTAATGTTAATATGTTGAGTTTTAAATTTGGTCTTTTAAATGTATAAGTTTAAAATTTCTGACAGCTGGTTAACAGTTTTGTGAGTTCTTCTATTCCTTGACCTTCTTTCTGTCTAATTCTTCTTTAAAATTTTCAAAAGGGATATTAAAGCCTTTAACTAAAAATATGCATTTGTCTATTTTTTTCTTTTAGTCCCATCAGATTTTGCCCCAGAAATTTGCAGTCCTGGTGCATACACATTTAGGACTGTCATCTCTTTTAGTTAGATTGCCCTTTTATCATTATACAGGGTAGTGCAAAAGTAGGTTTACAGTTGTTCATATGGAAAATGATGTAAATAATAAATAATAATACAAGAATAAGCTCTGCGTTTTGCATACTCACAACTATAAACCTACCATTGCCCCACCCTTTATAACGTTCCTCTTTGTCTCTGATAACTTTATTTTCTCTGCAGTACCCTTTTTCTGATATTAATATAGCCACTCCTGCTTTCTTTTGATGAATGTTTGTATGATATATTTTTCACCTCTTTTCTTTTAACTTGCCTATATACACAGTGAATTTCTTATCGACAACATACACTGAATCAGGCTTTAAAATACACTCTACTAATCTCCATCTTTTAAAAATAGCTTTATTGTGGTATAATTCACCTACTATGCAAGTCACCCATTTAAATTAAATGGTAATTCATTTTTTTTGAACATTCACAGATATATGCAAATATCACCACAATTAAAATACTATGTTAGTATCTGGAAGGTAGTGGGGTTAATCAAATATTAACTCTTACACCCATTTCCAGGGTTACCATCCTCCTAATAGGACCTGAAATAGCGAACCAGCTGGCATCTATTGTAATGGATTGTGGATCTATTCTCATTAACTGGTGCCCATGCCTTTCAGGCTGATAAATATTTTGAATATTACATCTGCCTATCATGTTCCCTGTGTAGAATCTGGTCAGTTATAGTGCCAGACATTATAAATTAATAAATTAGTATTTAGTTTATCAAATTTTCATGAGTGTGATTCATGTGAATCAGCCTTCAGGATCTATGCAATCTTAGGCATAGTCATAAAATTAAATTCTTGAACTTGCAAAGCCTAGACATTTCTAGACCCAAGACAACCTCACCATATTACAGAAGCCCATGTAGCTGGGATTCAGCATTCTCCTGGATCTACTCGCTAACCACCTAAAGATAATGTAACACAGTAGGAGCAGCCGGGTGGGGCAGTGTGCCCGGAGACACTTTCACGGCTCAGGGAGATGAGAGAAACGGCTGAGAAGTTAGAGTGTGGTGGTTTTTACACAGTTAAGTTTGTTTGTCTCTCATCTTCCTCTCTTTCACTTTCCTCACCTCTCCTTACAAACATGCCTGCGTTTCAAGGTTAACGCTATATGACTGTTTCAGAAGACAGACCCAGGGCCCTGCACTTTACCTGTTGAGATATGGGGACCCAGCTTGGCTTCCCATTTTAGCAGCAGACACAGCAGTGCAGGGAGCAAAGGAGGGAATTCACAGTGACCTCCCTGATCAGTTCTTATGTTGCCATCTGAGATGATACTAAGGCTGTTCTGGCCTCCCAGCAAGGCAGGGGTTTGCCCTGGACTCTTACCTGCAGGTGGTTCTGCCCTTTTAATGATAAGCAGCTCAAAAGCTTCGTACGTTAACCCATTTAACATTGGAAAATTCTTCTTTAGACCGAGACCAAACAGTCTTAAGAGTTTCTTTCACTCAAGTTTCTATTTCTGTAGAAACACAAGGCGGTTCTTCCCCCTCCCACACAGGCCCAGAGGAAACTCCCTTCTTCCCAAAGGCTCATGCAGAACAGATGGCAGCCAGGCTGTGGGGGCTGGGATGGTCTGGGCGCCATGACAGCCTCACAGGCCTCCCCAGAGCCACCCTCTGCAGCCTCTTCTGGAGCTGGCATCCTGGAGCCCTGCCCCATGTTTACGGAGAAGCCTGAGGGAGCCCAGGAATAGATGCCAACAGGGAACACATGGTGAAGGAGCCGCGCCCGCAGTGCCTCCGGAGCTGGCTGCCTTGTTCCCAGACTCTGCCTCCAGCTCCTCGCAGGCCCCTCTGGCCGCTGTGCTGCCTGTGGCCGAGCTGCCCTGCCAGGCCCAGCCCAGCTCAGCTCTGCGGGGAAGCCTGGCCGGCCCTGTGCCCCGACCCATTCCCTCTCTGCCAGCCAGACTCCTGGTGCACGGACTTCTTCTCCGTGGGCTTTCCCAAAGGGCAGCCATGAAGGGAACTGACAGCTGGGGTTTGTGTTTGCCCAGATTGCTGGCCTCCCTGATGGACACTCTCCCCAGCCCGCACTCAGTGGGAGACTGCACGGTGGGGAGGGCAGGAGGAGAGGAGGCGAAGCTCCCTCTTTGGAAATGTGGGCAGTCTTTCCGGGCAGGGGGCACTGGAGAGGGTTTTCTGAGCTCCCAGCACTCACCACCCTGCAGCTCTGGGAGCTGGCACCGCGTCCTAGAGAGGATGAGCCCAATCCTGGCTGTATGGGCAGAGCAGCGCAGACCCCGCCCGACCCTCTTGCCAGCAGAGTCCAAAGTCAAAGGCGGGCCCCAGCCTGCCAGGGCCTGAGCTGCCTGTTGGAGAGAAAACGGGAACAAAGGCCAGGATAAAGCCTCACCCCAATGCTTGGCGTTGGCTCTTGGTGATTCCGGGTGACTAGCAGTTGCGTGCTGCTCCTGTTGTTATTGCCTGGCCATTTCTGCTATTAAGAATGATTCAGCAATAAACTAGGTCCTTTCCCTGAACACAGGCTCGTTTCTTACTGGCTCTGTCTTGAAGTTGTCCTCATTGTCATTTTCTGAGTATGTGACCGTGTAATGAGCACTTCCACAAACACGACTTCCCTCACGCACAGCAAGCCTGGAAGCAGGTGCTTCCTGGCCTGGAAGCTCAGAGCACTGAGTGTGAGGCCACAGCACTGACAGTCCTGGTGGAGCAGCATTTCACCCAGTTCTCCTGACCGCAGGGACCCTGTCCTCCTCCCTGCTGTCCTCTGAGCCTGGTGCTCCCTGAGGTGGAGGGTCAGGGCTGTGAGAGGAGGGCTGAGCTCGGGAGCAGACAGGACCCCGTGGACCACACACACTCAGGGACACAGGTGACAGTCCCCATGGCCTGGGACTCTCCTGGTTTAGCACCCACTTCCTGCGTCCTGGGACCCCTTGGTCCTGGGCAAACACAGTGTGGATCAGACTGTGCCCTTGGCTGCACTGGAATTTCTGGAGGCACCTGAGGCAGGAGAGTCTTAGCCCCAAGCTCTGAGGGGAGGTCCAGCTAATTTGAGGGTCTGCTCAGCTGATTTCTGCAAACAGTTATTTTCTGAGCCTGGACTCCAGGACATTTTGTCCCAAGTGGCTACATTTTAAATATTTAAAAAAATCTGAACCTTTGGTTGCCAGAGGGAGCCTAGTTAATTAATAATAACCCTGTTTGCTACTGATTATGATGCAGGCAGTGTAGGAAGTGCTGTAGAACCCTCACCACGGACCCCCAGGACAGGCGTGTAACACATTGATTGTTATTCCCATTTACTGAGTAGGTAGCCGAGGTCCTGCATATTCCAGCGAGGCCCCAGGTCCTGAGCGGGTGTGTCTGCCACTGGAGCCCTCACTCCTGCAGCTCCCTTCCCAAAGCCCCTCCTGTGCATTCTGTCCGGGGCACATGAGAGTTCGTGGGTGTTTGGAGATTCGCACGTGTCTTTGGCGGCTCCTGGAGCGGTGCCAGGCTCACAGCATTTAGGAGATTCAGGATCCTGAGTGGTGGCCCTGGATTTCATAGAAACACTGTGGGAAGGTTTGCAAGACGTTCAGCTGGCAACTCCCCCAAACCTAAAATTAGGGCTGATGTGCTGTATGATTTTTTTTTTTTTTTTTTTTTTTTTTAGCTCAACTGTTTTTTAATAGGTTACCTTCCACATTGCAGTTCTTGACATTTTATCATTCAATTAGCTTTCCTGGAGAAGGGATCAGGACCATAAAGCTTACACTTATGTTAAACCTCACTCAATACCACTATTTTCTGTAAAATGTGTTTTAGATTAATGTGCCATAAGGTTGTGCCAGAGCCTCAAGAGGGAGGGAATTTACCAAATGAATATTTTGTATTTGTGCTGGCATGTCCCAGGCTGGTGCTCTTTTGCCTTTGTTCATAAGTAAACAACTTTCTGTTGCTGAGATAAAGTTTGGTTTCTTTGGTTTGAAGGCTGAGCCTCAGAATACTTTTGTGCCAAACCTGCTGCACTTTGTCTGAAGGTGCCTGCAAGGTGGGCCTGGTTCCTCAGCCTTTGCAGCTAAAAAATGGCTCACACTCAAGCCTGACTGACTGGTGGGGCTTTTACCTGGTGGTTCTAATTCGACTACAGGGCTAATCCTAATGGCTGATTTTGCATTAGGCAAAAATATGTTATATTGGACCTACACTATATTACATTGATATTTAGCACAGTTCACCTCATCATTCCTTTATTTACACACTAGGGGCTGGGTACCCAAAATTCATGCACTCTCAGGATCCCTCAGCCTGTTCTGCACCCTTTCACAGTCTGGGAGCCCTCGGAGGATGTCTGACTAATGGCTTAGG